GTGAGGAATTTGAGTGAATTTGGTCGGACGATCTCGATACCCGATATCCAAACTGTATCCTCCGGAACGTGAGGAATTTGAGTGAATTTGGTCGGACGATCTCGATAAACAACAACAAATTAAACTACATCGTTCAAACACTTGATAATGGTAGTTAATTAACCACATGTGTCTATCCTTGGTTACATCTAGGGTGAGCGTGTAGTCAGTAGGCGCATCACAACATGAGGGCGTGGGGGAGGGTGTAGTCAGTAGGCGCATCACAGCATGAGGGTGTTGGCGAAAAGGTCGGTACGTGCACGAAAGCCTCTTCCAATTTCCACTCCAACAAGTGATCCGGCGACGAGTGGTGCGTTCTTTTATTCACTCTAGCTCAGCAACTAAGGCTTAAAGTACCGAATTAAATTCCCTTCTAGACTCTCATTCCCCTTCCTGCTAGCGATACCATGACGAGTTGCTATGTCGTTACCCGTTGGGTATCGACCAAATTCGATAAAATTCCTCAGCTTCTACGGATATAGTCGTTGGTATCCATCTCGTTACCCGTTGGGTATCGACCAAATTCAATCAAATTCCTCCGGTTTCTGAGTATACTGTTGTCGATTTTTAAACGGATACCCGGGGTAATGATATTATGACATCACTCAAAAAGGTGTGAGCTTGAAAATAGGATTAAAAAGAAACTTTAATTAGAAGTCTTCTCATCTGTCCACGATTCAATTTAATCGAATTCAGTTGAGGTATTCACAGCGATATGCTCAGATAAGTACGAAAAATTTATCCAAAAAGATCATGAAATCAAAGCAGGACTCGAACACACATCTTCCGATAACCGGTCGGCTATTTTACCAATTAAACTATATTATTTTCTCTTTCGTTAATTAATAGCAACATATCAAAATTTTAGTATGAATTTCAATAAAGATAAATCTTATTAGTTGTGTGATCATTGTGGTATGAAATATGGAATGATTATCGACAGTTATAATTTGAAACGAGAAAAGAAAAGTTATATATTCCTTTTATAATTGAAATAATAACTTTAGATTTGAAAAGATAATTAAAACGTGACATGTCACTGTTATTGAAGCGATGATTAACCATAGAAGCTGAGTTCAAGACCATCCTATCAATGAAAATAATGTATTGAGAAAATAATCCTTAACTATCTTACTCTTGAAACACTTTTTAAAGGTTTAGTACCTTCTTCATCGATTTTGTTTGAATATAAAGTTACTTTTTTTTTAATGTCTATAAGGAAGAATATGTGTATGACTTTGAATTTTATTACATCAAGAATATCTACTTCATTGATCTGTAATGCTTGTGCAAAACTTTGAGCATCTTCAAAACCAATTTCATTGTATCCGAGATCAATTGTTGTCAATCCCTATTCACATATAAAATATAATCATCAGAATAAATTTCAATCGAAAAACTACTTGATTCGTTGTCAATGCTTCGGCAAGCGCTTTAGCACCCACCGGACCTATACGATCATTTTTAAGAGTTAAGTCTGTCAATGTCTAGAATAAAGTACAGTTGTATTGATCATTTTTAGGAAATATTAGAACTATACATTATTGACAGCAAGTGCTTCAGCGAAAGCACGTGTACCATCAACACCAAGATGGCTGGATTCAATGTGAATATGTGTTATTGTCTATAATCCAGCAATGGATCATCATTAAGCCCGTCTATAATGTATGACTTACTCGATTTATTTTTAATGCTTCTGCAAGAGCTCGAAAACCTTCGGAAGTGACTCCTGAATTTTCTATATTTATACTTTTCAATCCCTAGAAGATTTACCAATGAGAAACAAAATTTTCATATGAGAAGATATACACTATTCAATTTCAATGCTTCAGCTAATGCTTTGATAGGGTGAATCTATGGGAAACGTACCACTTTGTACATGACTTTCTCTGAATTTGCTCAAACTCTCAGGGTTTGTAGAGCTCGATGCGCTGATCATTTTGGTATAAAAATACCCTGGGTTTGCTTATGTTTTGACTCCGAACGACCCCAAATACAGTTTGACGAAAATAGCGAAAATCAGGAAAATTTGGGCGGTCCTTCACAGTATTTTTCATTTTTTATCTCTATAGAAAATCGAAACCCCAATTATTTATATATATTCTGATAGCCCGTCTTCCGCTGTATCAAGCCATATGTAAACCAAATAGGTCGGTTTAATTAAATGAGGCTATGAAGGAGCACACCTTCATGAACTTGACTCCTCTATTGCTCAGCTCTGCCGAATTTGGGTGGACTGGGGTATAGTGGGTTTTGTAGAGCGTCTCTTGCTCTATCTCGTGGCGTAGAAGACTCCTCGCCCGGTTTAGACTTTCAATCGTGAGACAGCCGGAGAACGTACGTGATCATTTTAGACCTGATTCCGAATTTAGGTATGTATGGGTGTAGGCGCCGATGAATTGCAGAATTCAAACCCATCCTTCATATCAGCCACCCTCACCCGCAATACTCAATGATCGCTGTAAACGTGATACGTTTCCCATGGATTCACTCATACCTTGTATATCAGTGTCACTCCCGCTAATTTTGGTCAATGTTAGTGTATATAGAAATGAAATCGATCATAATGTTGAGTAGATATCTGTAACATACATTATTGATTTTCAATGCTTCTGCAAAAGCAAGAGCACCCTCTTCCACACAACTTTCATTATGAAATGTCAGAATTTGTAATGTCTACAGTATCATGTCAGTCATCAATATTCATGTTTCTATTGCTAAAAAGTTTGAACATACTCTGTTAACTTTCAAAGCTTCAGCTATGGCTTCAAATCCTTCTGAACCGATCAAATTATAGTGAAATTTCAATCGTGTAAGCGTCTAAGAAAAGTTAATGTACTCAAAATACATAAATAATTTCAACATACTTTATTCACTTTTAATGCTTCTGCTAATTGTCGTGTACCAACAGCACGTAAGAAATTCACTTCAAACTCGAGTTCTTTCAATGTCTTTAAAAAGCTAGTTCTTTTCTAATTATGCACAGCAAAGAATTTAATGAACCTTATTAACTTTCAATGCGTCTGCAAGCAGCTTACGAACAGCAGATGATTCGATTGAATAACGACGTAGAGCCAGTTTTTGGAGTGTGTACAAACTTTCCATGTGTTACAAATGATCATTGTAATTTACAAAAAATGCCTGTACTCGATTAGTCATCAAGGCATGAAAAAATGCGTCAGCAGCTTGGCATATACTGAGATTAAACGTTGTTACACCCTTCAAATGTAAACAATCATTGGTATATGAATGATACAAAGATTATCAATACTTGATTGGATCTCAACGATTTACCCAATGCTCTTACTCCTTCAGTATCCATACTATCAGGTCGAAGTTCAATAGTAGATATTGTCTAGATAGAAATTCAATTATCAGTAATATTAGGGTGCGTAGTAACTGTCATGACCGGTTTCGAACCTACTAAAGTTCGTTATCAAATGGCTTAGAACTTAAAAATGACTAAAATTAAACATTTTCAGCTTAAAAAAGCTAAAAATAATCTAATTCAAAAAGTCATTTGAATCATGAGGAAATTCTGAAACAGTGTTTACTCACTATATTGCTGATATTGAATGGAAAGACGGATTAGATACGTTGTTTTGTGAAAGGGAAGAGCTTAGACGTTTGGTTGTTGCATTATGTCAGGGGATTGAAGATTGGTATGTTGTGGAACATTATCATGGTTGTTTGATGGACAGTAGTTGACTGAAAATAATTCTTTTTAAGGGATGTTGTTTCATGAATTTGATTCATAGATCTAAAAGTAAAATAAGCTTTAGAAGGCGTAAGCACATCTGAATTGAATATAAAAAATGGCTAAGAGCTTTGAACGGATTGAATTAAATAAGATGTATTTTAGAAGAAAGCTCAGGTGTATGTTAAGGTTTGACGTTATTTCTACGAATCGTTCGTTGATGGTCGATGATCTGTTAGATTGAATGATGCTGATAAAAGGAATTGGTTAGTATAGTTTGCACGTTCGATCATATGTTGTCGACGTTGTTCGATACCTTCATTCACACGTTTCTGATATTCAGATGTTGATTCCATCTATCTATTTTGAACGAGAAATTTTTTCTGTTCAGTATGTATAATTGTTTGTATTTGTTCATGTTCTTTCTGATGGATAAAGATAGCTTCTTGAATAATACATAAGGGTATCCAAAAGTAGTGGCAACGATATTTTAGGATCACTTAATGAGCTTGGAAAAAATTTCTTTTTACATAGGATGATAGAGAAAAAAAAAGCTCTTTCTTTATATGCTATTTGATCATACATCAGTTGCTATCAGAACAACAAAGTCCTAATAATACTGCTTTCCCCATCATGCATAATGGTTACATGAGTGAATATCATATCTGACACGCATTCTTTTCTTGATTTTTCCTTTGTTTTTCTTCTGTTCTTTCTTCTTTTCTCCCGCTTCTTCGGACGCTTCATCGTTTGTTCACATCTGCACAAAAGCACATATCTCTTCTGGTGCACGTGCCATATACTGTTATGCTCTACAGAAAGTGAAGAGAATAAAGCCGAATCGAGTCTGGACACTCTTCATTCGTATTTTTAATGGACAAAGAGAAGTTTCGTTTCTATATTAAAGTGCGTACTGCACTTAATATTGAAGCAACAACGATTCACGACGAGTTGCACAATGTATTTGGCGATGATGCTCCTTCCTACCGAACAGTTGCAAGATGGGTGCAATGGTTTCGTGATGGTCGAGAAGTAGTTGAAGAGGAAGAACGATCTGGAAGACCTGTAACTGAGAGTACTCCTGAAAATATTCAAGAAGTTCAGAACATTGTTACTGATGACCCTCATGTTACAATCGACAAAATACAAGACCATACCGGTCTTAGTTATGGCAAAGTTCATCGGATATTGTCTGATTAGCTGCAACTTCGAAAAGCTACTGCTCGTTATGTACCGAAACACTTAACGGAGTCTCAACGAAATGAACGAGTTCGAATATGCAAAGAAAATTTGTTAAGATTTCAATAAGGAAGATGGCGTTTGTGTGCCGTAGTAACAAGTGATGAATCGTGGCTTTTTCATCAGCAAACTCGTCGAAAAGTTTCTAATGCAGCTTGGGTATCGAAAGAAGATCCTCTGCCCACAATAATACGAAGAAATAGGTTTGCTCCAAAAACTTTATTTTGCATTTTCTTCAAATCCACTGGTCCTATTTGAATCCACCGTGTCGAACGTGGACAAACTATTGATCACCGATATTACATCGAGAACTGTTTGCAACCTGTTATCGAAGAAATCTAGCAACAGAGACCTCGATCAGGTCCTCATGCTATCAAACTTCATCATGATAACGGAGGCCCTCATGTTCATGAAGCTGTCCTTGATTATCTTCGCTCGGAGGGTGTTGCCATAATACCACAACCGCCCAATTCTCCGGATATTTCACCTTGTGATTTTTGGTTATTCGACTTGATCAAACGAAATCTAGCTGATCAATCTGATGCCGAATCGCTACATCATGCTACAACCGAGTTCATGTATTCTTTGGATAAAGAAGAGTATAAGAAAACGTTTGAAAAATGGATTCAAAGGATGCAATTGTGTGTGGATAATGAAGGACACTACTTTGAACACTTCATGAAATGAAAACTTCTTGAATTAGTTTAGCTTTTTTGAATGTTTGTGTATGCTAATGTGAATAAACGATGAAGCGTCCGAAGAAGCGGGAGAAAAGAAGAAAGAACAGAAGAAAAACAAAGGAAAAATCAAGAAAAGAATGCGTGTCAGATATGATATTCACTCATGTAACCATTATGCATGATGGGGAAAGCAGTATTATTAGGACTTTGTTGTTCTGATAGCAACTGATGTATGATCAAATAGCATATAAAGAAAGAGCTTTTTTTTTCTCTATCATCCTATGTAAAAAGAAATTTTTTCCAAGCTCATTAAGTGATCCTAAAATATCGTTGCCACTACTTTTGGATACCCCTATGTACTGTGCTATTCGTTGCTCAAACTGTGACATTTGCTGTTTAACTTGTGAAGTTTGTTGTTCAAAATGTGAAATTTGATTGTTCTTTTTAATCACATGACTTACCAATGTTGCTAATACTACTAATAACACACAGATAACCAATAAAATGTAAATATGTCTTGACAAAAATTCGTCAAGGAAAATTGACTTGAGGGCGATGACTTCTCACGATTGTTTAATAAAGTAACTTCTGCTCCTTCATTTTCAGTACGAACATTAGTTGTATTGTGATTGTTTTGTAGATTAGTAAGCGGTGTATTGAGCAGTTCTAAAATAGAACTAGAATAACGATAAATAAATGAAGATTAACTTACGATTAAATATAACGACACCGTCTTTTTCTTCGTCTTGATCGTTGATAACACTAGATAAGAGTCCATCTCTTATTGGTAGCATTGTCGGTACTGAGCTTTGTACTGGGTGTCTCGAATCTAATGACTGCAATATTGCTCTATGTTCTTAAGAAAATTTTTAAACAGATATAGGAAAAAGAAAAGAAGAAAGCTCGCAAGAGCTTTGCCGCATCGAAGCATTCGCTTTCTTCAAAAGCATTGATCAAAAACGTAAAATTCCGTTCATTGATTATGTCTCGATCGAAAAGCGATTCCAGTAGGGAAAGTGTTCCATTCAACGATTTATCATCCCTAATTCGTCGAGGAACATTATTCCTCATGAAGAAATTAAAACGTTGTCGGTCATCCTCAGTTAAACGAGCGTCCAACTTCAAAAGCCCAGAACGTAATCGATGTTTGTTCATATAAAGCTTCTACAGTCAAGAACACAATTGCGAATCTTTCTATCACAAGAGAAGCACCATGTAGATATAGCTTGATCTTTTTCAATAAACTTTCTAACGGCAATCAAATGAAACCTTTTTCACTAGTATTACGTTCTTCTTATCGATACTTGTCTCGTATTCATTATCTATATTAAAATCAAGTGAGTTTAGAACCAAATAGATATGTTTGAATGAGATAACGATGAAACGTAATATAATAGATACAATCTAGTAAATTCGACTTATCGAGGATCCTATGAAGCTAACCCGAGATATGTGATTATAATCATATCGAAAGTAGGGATCAATGTAATAAAGATAACCTTTCTTCTCGATCTTTCGTGGCAAAAAGATGAAATAGAAAGCAATTATTATTTTCCCGGTAGAGATCCTGAATAGGAAGTGCTTCGTAATAGGGAATTGGAGGAATATCTGAATTTAACTTTCAAGTTTGACACTACTGATATTTTATTGATAGGAAAACTACACACACACAGATAAAAAAATGTATTAATTGAAAAATATAGCTTGGAAAAATGTTAATCGTATATAATAAATTGTGAGCACAACTAGTATTTTAGTAAACAAAAAGTTCAATTTTTAATGAGAACGTTTTATCATCTTATTGATATAAATAGCGCCAAATAAAATGGTAAGAAATTTAATCGATAAAAAAAAGTTAATTGAAGATATCGTGATTTGGTCGATGAAGATAAGAACAGGACGATACTCAATATGTTTCAGAACAATCCAATGTATTTCGTACTCATTTGTTACATAAATATTATGAAGAAATTCAAAGTGTTTTGATAAATAATAACCAATACGCATTGGTGTGTAAATATACGATGTTTCATATGATGCGATCCAAATCCACCATTAATATATGTATTATAGAAGCAGCAATATAATTAACAAGTGCTGTTCCATCGAGTGTAAACAAATTATAAACACCAGTTTTGTATTCCTGATTTATTGTACGAATACGTGATGAATGAATAGAACCGTCCTTCATCACAACAAAAAGAGAATGATTCAAAGTCAATTGTTCTGCTGGTAAATAATCAAAATGCTTCACACGAATTAAATGATCAGGTGAAAGACTCAATTTATGACTAGTTTCCGTTTCAATTGTATAGAAAAGTGCTAAATTAACAGATAATTCATCAAGTGGGAAATATATATTTGATATACTAACCAGTTGTGTTTCGTTGAGTATTTGCTATCATCATCACTTCAGTTAAATATATTTGCGTTCCATCGGAGGGCATAGTCCAAATAAACTCACCAACTTGAGTGTCTTTTAACCACTTAGTGCTACCATCTGCTAATACTACCATTTCATCGCCTGAGAAACAAGTGACACATGGGTGAATCCATGGAGATCCAGCCACGTTTTGGAAAGGTTTTTTTTCGTCTTAAATATCCGATCTCGGTTGAAAAACACTTTTGGTGAAAAAAAATGGATCCTATCTGCAAAAAAACCCGAGTTTTTTAGCATTTTTAGGTACATGTACAGCATTTTTTCATATATAAAAAAATCATAGAAATACGTATGGAACTCTTTTAAATGCTCTTTTTTCGAAACTTTTTAGTACTCATTAATATCAAACAAGTCTATAAACATGTTTTCTGATAATAATTCGACTAACTTTCTTGAAAATCATACGTGCCTTGCTACTTTTCGTGTGTCTAATAACAGTCCTATTCCGTGAACGCGAGTTAGATGCAATTAATTCGAAGAAATCTTCTTCTCTTGTGTTCGTAGAGTAGAACAAGTTTGATTATATAATCCTCTCAAAATGACGCTGAACTAATGACTTTGCTCACATCACTAGAAAGATTTGCCGTGAAGTTGTCTCACAGAAGTAAGACAACCCATTCAAAAAGGACAGCGTAATCGAAATGTTTGATTTTTCATTTCTGTGTAATGACATCTTTAGATTTAAAACGTGATGCATTACTAGAAAATGTCCTAATNTGTTCGTAGAGTAGAACAAGTTTGATTATATAATCCTCTCAAAATGACGCTGAACTAATGACTTTGCTCACATCACTAGAAAGATTTGCCGTGAAGTTGTCTCACAGAAGTAAGACAACCCATTCAAAAAGGACAGCGTAATCGAAATGTTTGATTTTTCATTTCTGTGTAATGACATCTTTAGATTTAAAACGTGATGCATTACTAGAAAATGTCCTAATCTTAAACCAATAAGATTACGGGATGAATCACGAAATAGTAGTAAATATATCGATTGCTCATTAGTACCTCTTTTTCTCCCTACAACTTTATCCTGATGCCAAGACAAAAATATTGTGAACATCCAGAAAATCATGCACCCAACACACGCATGCCAAAAGGAACCAAGGCTGTATCTTTACAGCTTTAGAACTTTTTAATTTCTCAACATGATGTAGCTCACAACCGAATTCGTTGGTTATGTGCAAGATGTCACACATTTGAATCGAAAAAGATGATGACTCATCAATCAATGGAATCCTACGAAGCTGAAAGTTCAAGTGATGATGATGACGCTGTAAATATGAATGTCAGTGAATTGAACGAAGAAGAACAAAATGTTCTTATGGATAGTGGTATTATAGCTGAGTTAGATAACAATGATGATGAATTACCATATGTGGATGAGGACACAACTGATCCTGAATCAATAGATGAAGATAAAAATCATGTTTTGTATTCCTTGCTATTCTAGAATTCTTTCGTCTGAAGTTCATCACTTAGGATAGATTTCTTAGCAAAATTCAAGGTCATCAACGCTTTTATGACTTTTTGAAACAAATAAGACAAGATTTCTTCGAATTAATTGCATCTAACTCGCGTTCACGGAATAGGACTGTTATTAGACACACGAAAAGTAGCAAAGCACGTATGATTTTCAAGAAAGTTAGTCTAATTATTATCAGAAAACATGTTTATAGACTTGTTTGATATTAATGAGTACTACAAAAGTTTCGTAAGAAGAGCTTTTAAAAGAGTTCCATACGTATTTCTATCATTTTTTATATATGAAAAAACGCTGTACATGTACCAAAAAAATGCTAAAAAACTCGGGTTTTTTTTCAGACAGGACCCAATTTTTTTTTCACCAAAAGTGTTTTTCAACCGAGATCGGATATTTAAGACGAAAAAAAAAATCGAAAAAAACCTTTCCAAAACGTCGCTGGATCTTCATGGTTTCACACATAGATTCGATGAACCACAGTGGCTGGTACCACAGTCTGCATTTTGCGTACATGCTTTACCGACACCACATCTATAACAACGGGGTGTTTGTGTCCCACCACAGTCCACATCTGTTTCACCATTATTCTTGATTCCGTCATTACATGATGGTGCTGAAATAAAATGAAAGAATTTAATGAGGCCCATTAAGGGTGTGTGAAATCCGCTAAGTTTCCATCTATTTCAAAGTATTTCTCAATCAAATAATGAAAGATGAAAGAGATAACGATAATGTGTCACCGATTGAAAAGTTAATTCGATTCTATCGTTTCATACCTGTTGTTGATGCTGATGTTGATGTCGATGCAGTGGTTGACGTTGTCGATGCTGATGTTGATGTCGATGCAGTGGTTGACGTTGTCGATGTTGATGTTGATGTTGATGCTGATGTTGATGTCGATGCAGTAGTTGACGTTGTCGATGCAGTGGTTGACGTTGATGTTGTCGATGCAGTGGTTGACGTTGATGTTGTCGATGCAGTAGTTGATGTTGTCGATGCAGTGGTTGACGTTGTCGATGTTGATGTTGATGCTGATGTTGATGTCGATGCAGTAGTTGACGTTGTCGATGCAGTGGTTGACGTTGATGTTGTCGATGCAGTAGTTGATGTTGTCGATGCAGCGGTGGACGTTGATGTTGTCGATGCAGTAGTTGATGTTGTCGATGCAGTGGTTGACGTTGATGTTGTCGATGCAGTGGTTGACGTTGATGTTGTCGATGCAGTGGTTGACGTTGATGTTGTCGATGCAGTGGTTGACGTTGATGTTGTCGATGTAGTTGAGCTAGGCAGATTGGGAGTGTAGGTTGTTGAAGTTTCTAAAATCGAATGAAAAAATGTATATAAAAAAATTAATAGAGAATCTCATTTGGTTTTGTATAATTATGGAGATGGTTTAAAAGACTTCTTATCGCAATGCTCTCGAAGCTATGCAAAACTTACGCTGTGTTGTGGCTGTACTAACAGCTGATTTCAGCGAACAGAAACTCAATGAAAAACTGATTGAAGTACCATTAGGCAAATTAACTGATATATGAATTGATGAGAAAAGCCTTGTAATGTGTGAATTAACTTGATCATCCAATTTTCGTTGACACGCTTGTGTTCGACACGCTTTGGAATAGTCAATTCGGAATTCCATTTCAAATATACCATTTTTTGTATTTTGCCCCTTTGCACATTCAGTTGCTCTTCAATAATAGTAAAATTATGTTAGAATACTGTCGCTCGTGAACTTACGCTCTTTTCTTTCTGTTGCTGCTTGTTGGTGGTACATATTTAGCTGCCATCGTGACCAATTCCTTTAGATTCAATGCTTGGTTCAGCTGAAAATAAAAATACAAAGAATTAGAAGACATTAAAAAAACTGTACAATTTACTTGTGCACTCAATGCATTCATATCTTCTATTGAGTATGAAGTTGGATTTTTTGAATTTGTTATATAATTCAAAGTGTAAACTTGTGGATCTGGAAATAAAGAATGATGTTGAATTTTTTTAATACAAATTCGAATAGCACTCTCACTAGAGTTAGTACCGACGCTAATATCATCTCCCTTTTGTTGCAAATATACTGGAATGAGACCAACAGCAATAGTGCCTACCACTATACCCATACAAAGTAAGGCAATTAAGGCAGCGATTAACGGTATATATGGATTCGATCGCATTTGTGTCTAGAACTAGAAATGAGTAAAACTTTAGTGCGATTCAAATAAATTATTATCTGCCTTTCTTACAGCTGAAAAAAGTTAAATACTTCTTATGTTTTCGCCGATGTATCCGAGTGATAGTATTTGTAATATAGTGAATACTCAAATCATCAATGTAATTTATATACAAGGCAAAACGAACCCCGTTTCCCTTTCTTTTGATTTTTATTTATCAATGTTTCTCCGACGTCTAGCCACCCGATCGATGAAATCGCAAGCAATTATAGTTATTTATGACATTCATGTAAGTACTATACACGATCAACCACTCTTTTTCTCCTTAGGTACTTTTATCTGTCATTCAAATGAATTACAATGTTATGTTGTTTTTGCTTTTCACAATTTGTGCATTGATTTTATCAAAACAACCGATGATCGTACCTTTAGTTTAATGTTTCTTTATCCCGAAATCACCATCAATGGTAAATGGCTACGACATACTGTTTCTTTTTTCGATCAGTTACCTCCCCTCTATCTTACCTTTGTGCACTCGTACTTAACTTTCTCAATGTCATATGCTCTGGAAAATTGTTCGTTTCATCATCGATATATCTCATTTAGCAACCCTTCACTTTCCAACTTCGAAATATTTTTAACGCTTGGTTTGCTCTACCATTATGATTTAATACGTGTGAATCTTGGTATGACTAAAATCTTTCTCATATTTCTGATATATCGTTGAATCTGACGCAAAAAACGACGCTAAAAATCTCATATTAATCGACTTTTTGTGACGAAAAACGATTTCAATGGCATCCCACCAGAGATGTCTACAGGGCAGGGCGGCGTTGTTTTGCAATATATTAGGACAGGACAGAACAGCGCAGGACAGAACAGCGCAGGACAGGGCAGGGCAGGGCAGGGCAGCGCTGTTTTACAAGATATTAGGACAGGACAGAGTGCAGGGCATAGCAATTATGCCCCGCTGCTTTTATGCATTATTTTCTTATTCGGAGATAAACAGAAATAGTCGTTTTTTATAATGTGATGCTGCGTGAGAAAACCTCAGACGAAGTCTACAATAGGTAGAACCAAAGCAAAACTCCAGGAGAATTATAAAACGAAAAAGAAATTTCAATTCCCTTTTGTGAAAGAAAGGGTTATACAGCGTTTAAATGCTGCGTTAAAAAGCTTAAAGTTTGTCTGTCTGTCTGCCTGTCTGTCTGGCTGTATGGCTGACTGGCTGTCCTATCCAATCAGAAATCAGCATTTCTAAAATCAATGGAATTAATCGATAGTTGTTAGAAAATGATTACCGGTAGGGTAATCGAGGTCGAGGATCACGAATCCGAGGTTAGTGATGATTAATTAATTATTAGTTTTTCATTAACTAGCCACGACTTATTAACATCCATTGTCAGAGTAGACCGAAAGATTTCTGACGTCGGAAAATTCGAATTTGAGGGTGAATTTCGTTTTATTCGCTGAGCCTGGGCTTGTTTGTTCCTTCCTCTTTACAAAGGAGATATTTTTCTTTATCTGTTCTAAAATCTTTTGTAGAAGATGATGAGCTGAACGCAACTCACGGACGTCATGTGTACAAAGATAGTAGCTCAAGAACTTACACGAAAAGATCTAATGCATTGTACATAATGATGTTTCTAATTGAAGACATCCGAAAAAGTGATATGAGCTTAGTTATATCATCTTTGCTTTGTAGGCTACATACATCATGTCCTTTCCACGGGATTTTAGTAGAAGTAGTTTGCAAAGTGATATACCCGTCGGTGGAATTCCATCTTAGTAACTACAGACGCGTGGGCTGTAGAAACAGTATTCTGAACACATGCAGCGCTATGAAAGATGTTCGTTTCGAGAGGGAGGTCGACGAACAACTAAGCGTTTAAATGTTAGATTAATCCTAAAGTGCACGCTTAGAATAACCTCGCCAAGCTTCTGATAACTTTGAAAGGAATTTGACGAATGGATATTCCTCAATGAAAATATTCGACAAGGTATCATTTTGTTGACAGAAGAGAAAAGAATAGGTTTATCGCCGGAAGACACAAGCGAATGTTCAAACTTTTCAAGCAGTCTACTGTATATCGTCCGTCTATGAATGACTTAGTAAAGCATTTATGAAAATTTCCATGCGCGTGATGTGAAAAAAGAGAAACAGATGACAAAGGTCAATGGTTGGCCGTGAGTGACCGTCTGACTAGCCGTTGAGCGATGAATTTTTCAGTCAACATAGTTATTGCTGGAGAATTATCCACTGACAAAGGACTAATCGGTCTGATTCCTAAAAAGACTTTTGCATCCTATTCATTCTAGTGTGTGACATAGTGCCATGATTCAGTTGAGCACTAGTAGCAATCGCAGTGCTTTTTTTCTCTTTCGAAGTCTCTGAATGTGTTNNTCCAACATTTTGTACATATTCTTATATTGAATATTTTAATATATTTTATATTGTGACAACTATTCTAAGTTTGTATAGTGGATTAATAATTGTATTAAGACTTCTTATTCCATTTCTTATGCATTTTATATTTCGATTATTGTGCAAAAGAAGAATAGATGTTGCTCAATCTTCTCAAACGTCTGTTGAAAACGCAAATTAATCAAAATTATTTTCAATACGAACATTTGAATATTTTTCTCGTCGAAAACAATCTTTCAAATATCAATTCTTTGCTTTCTTCTTTGCTTATGTCTTTTCAATTCTCTAAATGATCAAAAATAAAATGAAATTAAACGAATATTCTTTCGTATAAAATGTAACTCAAATGAGCCATTGGTGATATCGACAAAGATAACAAAGTTGATATTATTGTCGCTATAGTGATGCTGCTGGCAACATTGGTATTCTTTTTGGATACGGAAATGGTCTTTTCGCTGAACAAACTATTCTTTTCTATGGATTCGAAATATAATCCATATTCAGTTGCCATCAATGACTTTAGCGATGATTCATATTTGGACATTGCTACTGTTGATTATAATTATAATTATTTAGATATTATTCTTACACATAAAAGCTACAGTTTTCGAAATCAAATTAGTTATGCAACAACTGGTCTTGATTCTTATCCTGAATCTGTCTACTTAGCTGATTTTGACAATGATAATCAATTAGATATGGTCGTAGCTAATTCTTGGACAAATGATATTATTGTTTTTCTTCGATATAATAACAATACGTTTTCAAATCAACAAAGATATTCGACTGGAAGTTCTTCAAATCCAACTAATGTTATAAGTGGTGATTTTAATAATGATAATCATTTGGATATAGCTGTTGTCAACTATGGAACTAATACAATGGGTATTTTCCTTAATTATGGTAATGGAATTTTCTTAAGTCAAACTACATATTCAACTGGTAGTAATTCCCAATCTTTTGCACTTACTAGTGATTATTTTAACAATGATCAATGGATAGATATTGTTGTTGTTAATTATCAAACTGGAAATATTTGTATTTTTCTTGGACAAGGTGACGAATCATTCATAAATCAAATAATATACTCAACGAATAGAAATGCTCAACCATATGATATTATTGTTAATGATTTTAATAACGATAATTGTACAGATATTGCTGTTGTTAATTACGCAATGAATAGTATAAGTGTTTTTATTGGATTATGGTAATGGAAGTTTCTCATCACCCTCAACATTTTCAACTGGATCTGATTCTGGGCCCGTATCTCTTGTCTGTAGTGATGTAAATGGTGACAAATTACATGATATTATTGTGGCTAATTATGATAGTAATACCATAGGTATCTTATATGGTTATGGTAATGACAGCTGTAAATTAAACATCATTATGTCGACTGGTAGTTCTAGTGGACCGTTCAGAATTCGTGTAGCTGATATTAATAATGACACATTACCAGATATTCTTGTTACCAATTATCTTTCCAATAATATTGGAATTTTTTTCGATCAAGTCAACAATAGTCTTTCCACTCAAATGATCTATTCGACGGGAAGTAATTCGAATCCATATTCTATCGCTGTTGGCGACATCAATCAAGATGGGTATTTTGACATTGTTGTAGCAAACTATGGTACTAGTTCTGTAGGACTTTTCTTCGGATATGGCAATAATGATTTCTCTTCACAAATAACTTATTCAACTAGAGGGTGATGCTAGCCCAAACTATGTTGTAGTTGGAGATCTTAGTAAAGATCATTGTGTGAACATTATATACTGTTGTCAATTATTGGTCTAGTTATATGGATATCTTTCTTGGTAATGGTGATGGCACATTCTATCACTCTATGACTTATTAGACTGGTACTAATTCTTATCCGTATTCGGTTGCAATTGGTGACTTTAATGATGATCTGATATTAGATATTGTAGTCGCTAATTCTGGATCGAATGATATCGGTATTTTCATAGGATTTGATGATGGTACTTTTTCTAGTTGGGCTACATATTCAACTGGCGCTGATCCGAAACCATATGCTGTCGCACTTGGCGATTTGAATAGCGATGACAAATTAGATATTGTCGTTACAAACTATGGCGGTGATACGACTGGAATTTTTCAAGGCTTCGGCAATGGTTCATTTGTCAATCAAAGAGCTGTTGTCATTGAAGAATATTGTGCACCGCGTTCGGTTGTTCTCAACGATCTGAACAATGATGGACATCTAGATATTGTGATAGGTTGCTATGATACTGAAAGTGTCGCCATATTTCTTGGATATGGGAATAGTACCTTAGAAATAACGGTTGAGAACGTTTGATACTGACTTTTCATCTGAAAAAGACGATTTGAAAATCAACTGCAGGATTAGAGAAAAATTTTCTTTTAAAAACTTGTACGTTGCTGCATACAATTTTCAAAGGAGTATGGGAGTGAATAACTTAATCTTGTATTTAGTCAATCTTATGTATATTTAATTTGGATAAAACTCATATTTCAAGTGGATCTATGTATATAATATCTTGAGACAAAAAGCAAAGTCGAATTAGAGATCTCGAATGTCCTTATACACAATCATTTTTTAGTTGTTCTTGATAAGCTTTTTTTCTTTGGTGAAATACGCCATCTGCAAAACACATAGTTGCAGATACCAGTGCAATACCTTGCTTATCAGTATTATTCATGAGACCAGCGCTTTTGTTTGATATGCGTCATAGTATTTACGTCAATAAAACATATTAAAAGGATCGCTACTCCTACAATCTCTCATATTTCTTAGTTTTTCATTTGAAAATTTAGTTGAAAAGGACGCTTATTATTATTATTCGTAATCATGAATTGGTTATTTATTACTCTTGTGATTCTTTCTGCTGTTTCTATTGGTAAGACTATTAGACAATTTAAAAAAGTTATCTAATATCTTGTTTCAAAGGTCTTCGTGGGTCAACTTCAACAGTACAAACAACTAGAAACTCCAGTGCAGTAACTACCACAGTTCGTTCCACAACGCGGCCAACATCTACCGCGACTCAGCCAACATCTACCGCGACTCGGCCAACATCTACGGCGACTCGGTCAACATCTACCGCGACTCGGCCAACATCTACCGCGACTCGGCCAACATCTACGGCGACTCGGCCAACATCTACCGCGACTCGGCCAACATCTACCGCCACTCGGCCAACATCTACCGCGACTCGGCCAACATCTACCGCGACTCGGCCAGCATCTACCACCATTCGATCAACAACTTCTATAACCCGTCCGACGACCAGCACGACTTTCGTTACAAGTAGCACGACTCGTCCTTGGGTGAGCACAAGTCGTAGCACTTCATTTCCCGTTTCTACTCGTACAACGTCCAGAAGTTCTACGAAGTTGACTAGTACTCGTCCCACAACGTATTATCCTTGGTCAATCGATTGTTATTATTGTAGTGCACTAAATTGTCCAACACCTTTTAATTCTATGAGTGCAAGCGTTGAATTGGAACACTCAAGAAATGGATGGTGTGTGGTATGTATTTAAATGTATAAACTCATCCATTTATAATAAGAAATTTCATTTTTAGAAATCAAGTTCAATTAAATCTCAAGAAAGTTTTTACAGTCGTGGTGCTGATTTATATAATGTTTGCTCGGTAACTGGATGTTCATGGAAAACAGTTGGAGGATTACGAACATGGGTTTGTTGTTGTAATAAATCATTATGTAATGGAGGTATTTCATTATTACAATCAAATTCGATAATTATTCTTCTAAGTTTATCAATTATTTTTTCATTAGAAAAGTTTCTTTAAAATTCTTGTTCTTTTTTTAATGTTCAGATAATAGAAATTGAAATTTAATCAAGGAAAAAATAATTCTATTATGAATTGTTTAAACTTCCACTGAATTCATCTAATTAGCAAAAGGATAAAACTCTTTAAGATGAGAATAATTTGGTAAATTTTTCTTCATTTGATATTTCATTTTTCTAATCTCAAAAGTGTATTGTATTTTGATTGTTTGGTTTATCTTTCTTCGAGATTTTCCATGAATGTATTTGATTTTTCTCTTACAAAATCGCGTCAACAAATAGAAAATTCCCCGAATGATTTCCAGTTGATAAAGTATTTCAAAAGAAGATATTTTTCTTTAAACACTTGTCATATTTCATATAGAAATGGACAAATTCACATTATTAAGCCAAGAAATAACATAATGGTGTCTTAATGAGTCTCATAAAGATTCATCTGATATTTTTTCAACAAAGTTATTCAATGAAGTTAAACGACATGGAAGAAGAGAAGTTGATAACAGTATGGCAATTTTTTTATTCTTTTTTAATTGTTATCAAATATTTTTCATTTGGAAAAAAGTAAATCTTTTTTTTCCTGATAAAATATAAAACAAGTTGATTTTCTCCATTTCGAATTATTTATTATCGATCTGATTAATCATTGAAAGAAATAGAAAGGAAGTACGTTCGAATATCATCTACCTTTATCAATGACGTAAACAAAATCATGTGAGAAAATAGTTATTCATTCGACGAAAGTAATGGGAACGAAAACATCGAAACGAATAAACGACGAAGATTCAATAAATACACGACGAAATTCTTCTTTTTTTTCTTCTCAAACTGTTCGACGTTCTTATGCTGATTGGATTTGTCATTCACCTTTGATAAGTAGTGATATTGATCGTTTAACAAATGAAGAAATAAATCATTTTCGAAAACATCAACAAATAACAAAGAATTTTCCAAATTCTCAAACAAAACACCAAAATTCTCCTTCAAAAAATCTTCTTAGAATTGAACAATTAGTTGAATCTCCATCAAACAAAGAAAATTCTCTTTCAACAATCGATTTCAATCAATTGAATTCTCTTGGAAATTTTCGAATTACTTTAATTGATCAATCAGATTTACAAGTAAACATTATTTTCTTCAAAATTCATCATTTTTCTCTTTAAATAGAATGCTCATGAAATCGGAAAAGGCAATTTCGGAACAGTTTATCATGCATTATACAAAAATAAACGTGCCGTTGCTTTAAAAACTTTACATTCTTCTTCCCAAGAGAACTATTCTAATGAAAATCTTCTGAAACTTCTATTTGAAGCTCATATAATGACACAATTAGAACATGAGAATCTATTAAATATTCTTGGAGTGACATTTTATGGAGAAAATCAACAATTAAGTTTAGTAACAGATTATATGAAAAATGGATCTTTATTAACTTATCTTCGAAAACATCGAAATCACTTTTATAAATCTTCTAGAAAAGAAATTAATCAGAAATTGGATCATTTTTCTCAACAAATTTTCCAAGCGATGCTTTATTTAGAACAAAGAAAAATTATTCATCGAGATTTAGCTGCGAGAAATTGTTTAATTGATCATGAAGATCATTTAAAAGTCGCAGATTTTGGTTTAACAAAGTAATTTATTGAAATTAGAAAGAAAAATGAAAGAAAAGATGAAGATTTTTAGATTAACTGATTGTGGTTTGTATAAAGGAAATGCAAAGACAATCTTTGCAATTCGTTGGTCATCACCAGAAGTTATTTTAAATATGAAATATTCATCACGATCAGATGTTTGGAGTTTTGTAAAAATTTCATTTGATTTCTTTTCTTAAATTCATAATGTTTTTCTCTTTAAGGGTATAACTCTTTGGGAAATTTATTCATTAGGAGAACGTCCATTTGGATATTTTAATAATCAAACGGTTAAAAATCTCTTAAAAACTTCTTCAAGCAATTTTTCTCAATATTTTCCTCAATCTCAACAATTTGGTTCAAATGAAGTTTATACTCATCTGATTTTACCTTGTTTAACATATAATGTCACTTTAAGACCATCTTTTAAAGATTTAAATGAAAGAATTTCCAAAATTCTTAATGAAAATAAATAATTTCAAAAAAGAGAACAAAAAAAAGAAAG